CGATTACTTGGTTTCCTGCTGCCCACAATTCCTGCCAAGTGCCAGAGCGGCTGAGCCTTGCGTGAGGTCACTTCCACAGCGAAACCCAAGATCATACTTTCGTTTCGTTACTTCTCTCAATAGAGCACAATCATCGAACGGTATGTTTTTATTGTCCTTTCCACCTATGATTCCTAACAGTTAGAGAGTTGTAAGCGGGGGCTAGCAGGACATATTTACAGTATGGAGGGTGCAGAGAATAGGCCATGGGGATAAGGTTATAGTTGTTGGATTCGTCACATGGAACCTTCTTGCGGATACTTGTGTTGGAAGTTGTGGAAATTGAAACACGGAATCTCGACTGCCGATGCGCTAGTTAATGCAAAAGGGATTCCAGGGGCTGAACAAGAAGCATAAAAAGGAGGTCAGGGCGATGCCCGCCACTGAGGAAGACAGAACAATCAATCAATTCTTTTCTCCCCGATCTTTCCGTCTGAGTGTCGTTTCCAACAATAGTCACACTGGCCATTTGGAGGATTTGTAAAGTCACGGATTAAGACCCGTACGGTCTTGGCTTGCAGGACGCAGGACGTCCCGTCCAATCATTCACGGAAACATTGGACCAATCATAACGCCAGAAGGGGGTGCTCCCGGCGCTCCCTTCCAGCCCCGGGAGCACGGGGAGCATCTACGCTCCCAACGCTCCCAATGCTCCCCGGGAGCATAGGGAGCACTGGGATCAACGGCTCAGATAGCATTATATAGCCACTCGTTCTGGGGAGCTCTGGGAAGTTCTCCCGTTAGCAATCACAACTACAGTTCGCTACAAGCTCGAAAGCCTACTGTTGAGACAAGTCTTTGTTGTGCACCCTTTGGCTGCACCGAACCTAAGCACCCTTGAAAGATTACCTTCGACCGAAGCCGAACCCTAACAGGACCGGGTTCAGAAGTAGGTTCGTCACAATTTGGCTTATTGTTCAGTGACGAGCTCTCAAGTGGGCGGTTCTGTACTTCTGCTTCGCCCCCCCTTCCCCCTCCCCCCCCCCAAAAGAAAAAGAAAACAAGAGGTATTTCTCTATAGAAACCAGGTGGAAGTTGCTGTAGTGCAACTTTTATGGGGTTTTAATCACGCTCTTAGTACATACCATAACTTCGGGAACCAATTTGTAAACCGCACATGTATCTTCCTGAATCTTACATACCTACCTAGGAACCTTGCGCGGGTTGAGCCGCCATCGGCCGCTCGCTGCGGGCCTTGTGAAGATATGAGATGATGCTTACGATGGGATAAATGCTTTAGGAGTCCGTTCGTAGCGATGGATGTCTCACATTGGCTTCTACGATCTTCAAGGATGATGGGATGATGCTATGGCCACTGTCGCCATGGTACAAGAGTTAGGGGCCAACAGAGAGAGAATACAGTAAGAGTGACACGGCACTACGCAGTGACACGGCACTACGCACATCATCACTGTTAGCCCAGAATCACGAATATCTCAAGCCAACTTGATTTTCCCGCACCCGCCGCCTCTGCCAGCTTGAACGGCATGGTGGATTTGTGGTCTTATCTGACTGTGCCAACACCTCTATCGGTATGCTCCGCTACCCAACAAAGACCTTGGCCGGCGAGTTCCCACCACACCTACTATTTTCGATAACATTCCTGCATCCCTACCAGGGATGCTGCCTAGTCGTTTGTCCAAATCATGACAGTTGTCACGGCCTTGTCTCAATGGGCCAGTGCTGCGGGAGGCGGGACGGAAGACAGGCCGCTCGTCTCCTGCGTGAGAAGAGGAAGGCGAGGAAGGGAGCGAGGCCACGGCCTTTATCGACAGAAGGAGGGCGACAATTTCCGATTCGTTTGTCTTGAACTCCAGCAGGGCACCCTTTGGTGCTTCGGATGATCCATGAGTCTGTCTTGG